GTCAGGTTTTAGACCATATAGAGCACAGCATGTGTTTTAGGATATAACTCAGGTTTTTGAACACACTTTGTCATTATTGTTCATTTATTCGTTTGTTGGAAATTAGAACTGAATTTAGAAATAGTTTTGACACAAATATTTGCGCTTAACAAACAAAAGTATTTATTTATAGACTAATTGATGTCTGTGCGTAAAGGTTTCCCTATCCAAGAGCGAAAGTTATCCGTTATCTCTTTCTCACGCAGTAGATGCTCTGTTTAACAGTTTTCTGTTAAAACACTGTTAACTGTTTGCTTGTGAAATGCTCATTTTTTCCACTTAGACTTACTTTGTGTCCTGTAAATAGCGAATGCGCTCTTGGCGCGACGCAGCTGGCTCTTAAAGGGAATGGGAGATGAGACTCTAATTGATTTATTCTCAAAGCACACCTATAACTCATTAAGAAAATAAACTCAACCCTTTTAGACCATGCGCCGAAGCGTAAGGCAGATTTCCCGTCCTTAAATTAGCAAAAACGCATCCTGACACGCCCTGAAAGCGTTTGCGCCCTGCGTTTTGCGCATGGACCGTCAAAATAGAGCCCTATGTCTTGAGCATTTGATTTCTCCTCTGTGATTATGTCCTTTAAATAGGCTATATAAAGGCTGGTTATTTTACCGTCGATGAGAGACAATAGTGGTATTACAGATTTCAAATCAAATATTTTAATATTAAAAGGAAACAAGCTTGACATCAAAAGATCCTTTATTGTCTTAACAAATTCCCCTAAATGATGCAGCCTGTAGTTTACAGCAAGCATTAAGTGTTCATTGAGATGTGTTTGGGATTGTGTCTTCTGTCACATCTTTCGTCTCTCTTTTCGGGGTTTTTTTCTCGTGAGGCACGGCTTTCGAAAATGATGACATGAGACTCTGCTGGGTGTCTGCGCTGGTTTACTAACACTTTAGGGGTCCGTTCTTCGTACGTGGATTACTCAGTTAGCTGGATTTGGATATTGACGATTTGACACGATCCAGGATCGTTTCGTTCTTCAAAGCTGATCTGAGAGTTGTCATAGCAACAGTTCTGCTAGCTCAAACCTGATCGGGAGCAGGTTCAATTCATATAAACCATAGACTGTAAAATATATGGACGTAGTATCCGTGACGTCACCCATAGGTTTCTGAAGAGCGCAAAAGAAGCCACAAGTAGGCGCGGCCAACCGTCGCCATTTTGGTCACGCGTCATCACACCCACGGCGGGATACCAAACAAGGGCAAAGAGGCGGAGAGTGGGCGGAGCTACAGACACCTGCTAGCATTTAGCTTGGACCTGGTTCAGACACACTTTACTTTGGGAGAACGCTTAATACTTCATCACCTGTGACTCGTTTGTATTCTGACCACTTGTGCTTGGCTGTACACAATATCAATAAAGTGTTTAGACTTTTAAAAACACTGCTGTAATACATCGAGCCACTAAACATTGTTCTTATGATGTTTTTCAACAGGAGGAAAACGCGAATGACTTCCAAACACTTCAGATATAGTCTGTGTTAGTTAATGCAAGACTATTGATGAAATCCAGCATAACACTGTATGACAACGCTTCAGATGACTGATCTAGAGCCTACAGCTAATCAATCTGACAGATTCTGGAGTGCATTACAGCTCTAAATATAAATATAAACGATAAATGATCTTAAATAAAACAAATACATGTATAGAGAGGGTATATAAGTATGTAACTTTACTCACATGGCAAACGGAGGCCACGTGAATGGTTTGTGAGAACAATAACGTGCACTCAGAATGACATGCCATCTAATAATTGTGGGAAACAAGTCCAAAAGGCAGTTGACTGTGTAAAGCCACATAAAACAACACAGAAATACGATAAATATGCCGAGTTCAGTGGCTAATCTGCAGAGGTGACGTGACGGCGACCAGCGAGACCTAGCTGTCACTCAAGTAGCCACTCCCTTAATTATGCAAACTTAATATAACTTAATAAAAAGGAAACGGATGAGTTATAAAAAAATTCACCCCCCTCACAGTTGTCATGAAGGGTAATATTAGCTGTATTAACCAAAATCTTTTTTTGTACCAGGCTGTGAACACCTTTTGTTCTGCTGTAAAGTTGCCCATTCTAACAGTGGGCTCAATTGAAATTTGCTCTGTTTTGGAGCCAGGAGCGGCCAGGACTAGCAGAATTTCAGATGAATTGCAGTTTTAGTTACTTCCCTATTGGCTTCCTGAGAGAGAGCGGGAGGTTGCCGCTTGGTATAAACAGGATTAGATCGGCTCAGTTTAAGCAAAGATAATACAGAAAGTATGTACCGAGTTCTGATATTTTCTTACAGTAGTAGTTATATACACTTGGAAAAAAATACATTTTTTAACTATATATATATATATATAAAGTTATAGTCATTAATAAAATAAATAAAGTTATACATATTAATAAAACTTATGCAATCTGCACCCTCGAAATGAAAGTACAAAGACTCTCACCTGGTGGTGCACAGAGAAAACTTATTGATATGAACTTTTTAGATTGCTTTAGTACAAATTGTGTATAATAGAAATGCACAATGTGACTTTTTTTTTTTAAAGCAATAATACATTTATGCAGTCATAAACATGTTTTGACAGTTAATATGCCAGTAATTTGATGCTTCACAAAAGTTGCAGACGCCTTTACCAATATGAAAATGCTTTTGTAAACAACCAGTTATTCTTTACACCGATTAAAAAACGGCTACTATAATAAAGAAAATATTTTCTAAATGTAGAACTAAATACATTGATATGCATTGAAATACATGATGAATACTCTTGACACATGAAAGTGTAAAGCCTGCAGCTCATAACAAATGTGGAAGGTTATTGCGTGTCATATTTAACAAACCGTTTACTGCTAATTTGATGTAATTTTGCTCACATGGATAATTGAATATTAATCAGATGATGTCATTACGCTGCTGTGCCGTCAGCCAATCGTTGCATTGCTGATCATGATTTCGAGGATCGATAGATCTGTCCTTCACAACACACGCAGCGATCTCAGATCAGTTTATCCAGACATTCTAATCTGATTCGCAAACTCGTTTGAAGAACCAAATTAGCGAGAGATCAGTTATCAAGAATAAAAGATTTGGGATCTGCCAAATAATCTTAGATAATTTAAGCGAGGTACGAAGAACGGACCCTAGGTCTGTACTATCTTAGCATCCTCATAAGAGTGGTCTTGTTTTAAATGGTGAAACAGGTTTGTGGTGGTGCCTGCTTTTGATGACACGAGCAGCCTGATCTCACGAGGAAACGCAAGTATTTTACATTTTGTCAGTTTAGTGGCTAATTGTACGATTTTAAAAAGGAGGCGTGGCACCCAACCCCACCCCTAAACCCAACTGTCATTGGGTGATGAGCAAATCATACTAAATTGGACGAATTAGATCATACGAATTAACCACTAAATCAAGAAGTTACGAATTGCCGTGAGATTGCGTTGACAGGAGACATCTGCGCAGTTTGCGGTGCACGTTACTCTGTTTTGTGTCGGATAGCAAAAAACTAAGTAGCTCATGACTGAGGTCTTGTGACGTTTCTTGTCAACAATGTCTGTGACTCTGACCTTTTTTACCTTATTTCTTTTTTACTCCTTTCAGTGCAACTAACACTGTAAACTTGTACGGCGTGCAGCAGTCGGAAGGGCAGGCTGCAAAATGCTTGCGCAACGTTACGCATAGTGCGTAAATATTATCGAGCAATTATCGAACTGTCATTATCGTTTTATCGTAAAATTTTATATCGTGATAATTATCGATATCGAATTATCGCCCAGCTCTAGTCCCTAGTTTAGCTTTTCACAGGTCAGAGATCAGCTCTTAATAACTTAGGGTCGACCTAACCCCCAGGAACCATGTCGCCATCCATATCTGGAGTTAGATACAATTCTTCCGTGACGCACACATCCAAACTTTATTGACGCACACATTTAGAATCGTCTATAGTTTCTGTATCCAATGAGAACTGTTTACCTGGATCCCACCTTTTCTGGACTTGTGTAAAAAGTACAATTACTGCATTGTTGTAATGTAAGGCAGAGCGGCCTAGGAACTCATTGCGAGTGTTGAAGCTAGCTTCTGCTGATGAAACTGCAAACTATCTTCAGTAAACTTAGGGTGCTTTCACACCTACACTTTTGTTTCGGAACGCATCTCGTTTGCCCAGTTAGCGCGGTTCGATTGGCATATGTGAACAGGGCAATCGCACTCTGTTTCCGCGCCAAAGTAATCGCTCCGAGATCGCTTGAGTGAGGTGGTCTCGGCTCGATTGAAACGAACCCTGGAGCGGATCGATTGCAGTGAGAAAGCGATCCGATCCGAGCGCGGTTATATCACAGTGTTTTATGGATATGTAATAGGCTTATGGCTATATGAAGAGAGAATTATGAGTAGGGCAGGAAGTTTCACGAGTCTCCGGATGCCCGCAAACGAGTGATGATCTCCCGGTAATCTCGCGTCTCCCTCCGGTCCTCAAATAGGCATCGTCGCGCTACCTTCTCACCCCTCTCTCCCTTCTCCCTCCACCCCTTCTCATCCGTCTCTCCTCAGACACGTCGCGCGCTCACCCTGTCAATCACCACCAAACCACCACCTCTCCTGACAGCTTAGCGGGACGCTGCAAAATAAACCCTGACACTCTGACTAATGTGAGGAGAGTTTACTCGCACGTGACTTGTTTTAGCTATTTTGGTCCGATTAGAAACTTTGCAGTGTGAAAGCGAACCGCTCCAAGAGCAAAGAGCAACAACGTAACAATTGTAATCTCTGTTTCGGAACAACTAAATCGTTTCACAGGTGTAAAAGCACCCTTAAAGTACCGATACTACACTAAAAATGTACTCAAGGGAAAGTAAAAGTGCAGTGTTATGAAACTACTTAGTAAAAGATAATATCTGGGAAGAACTACTCAATTACAGTAACTTGAGTATTTGTAATTAGTTACTGTAGACCACTGCACATACTGATATTTTAATTCAAAAGTTACTTAATAGCTTCAGTCGAGTGTTTGAATCAAGTCTTTCTGTGAAATGGCGCGCCTTCTTACAAAAGTCTTCTTACAAAGAAAGCACGCAACATACTGTATTTAGATATTCATCCACCATAATGAGGCGTAGGACCAAATTTCAGAAGTGCTAGATTGAGCTTTGCCTGGCAAGAATTACACCCTGCTTTTAAGGTTTCTCTCTGGTGTGAATCCTCTCATGTTTTTTCAAGATTACTGGATAACTGAATCTCTTGTCACAGTGTGAACACTTGTAAGGTTTCTCTCCAGTGTGAGTCCTCTCATGTGTTTTCAGATTTCTTGAATTACTGAATCTCTTGTTGCAGTGTGAACACTTGTAGGGTTTCTCTCCGGTGTGAATCCTCTCATGCATTTTCATCTGTTCTAGCTGACTGAATCCCTTACTGCACATTGAACAAATGTAAGGCTTCTCTGCAGTGTGAATCCTCTCATGTACTTTCAAATGTTCAACCCTATAAAAGGTCTTCTCACACTTGAAGCACATGTACTCTCTCACACCGGTGTGGATCTTCTGATGTCTATTTAAACGAGCTTGATCTTTGAAACTCTTTCCACACACAGTGCATGGATAAGGCGTCTCCTTTGTATGATTTTGAAGGTGGCTCTTCAGCTCTGAAGCCCTCAAAAATGTTTTGCCGCACTGATCACATTTGTGTGTTTTCTCTCCAGTGTGGATCAGCATGTGATTAATTAGGGATGAGGGGTGTCTGAAACTGGTCCCACACTCAGAGCATGTGCATGGTTTCTCTCCAGTGTGGATCATCATGTGATGCCGGAGACTCTTTTTGTATAATAGACTCTTTCCACACTGAGTGCAGGTGAAACAGTTTTTGTCTTTTCTCTTCAGTGAGTCAGTTTCTTCTTCCTCTTTGACAGGACTGTGTGTCTCCTCCATCAGGCCTGAAATAAAATAAAAATACTGCATTTTAAAAGAATTATATTATGAATGAAAATATATAATGAAAATCTGGGTATACCAAGGCATAGTAAAATAATAAAAGCTCAGTGTATGGAAAAGACCATATTGTGAGCAGTAAACACTGCTGTTTCCTCATTATCATGTAAATTAGAAGCCAATTAGAAGCCAAAGCAAACTGTGATGAGACTCACAGGCTTTAGGTTGTTCATCCAGAGCTGACGAGTACCTGACGTCATCAAGAGAGCACGACTCATATGCAGCTGAGATCATAAAAAAGGCTCTGAGATCATTAATATTCCCACCTCAGGCTGCGTTTAAGCCAACTTTTTCTGTTCAGATAACAGTGGTAATTTTCCTCCCTTAGTAATTTTTAACCTTACATTCAACTTATGTGGGACTTTTATTTTGAAAACGTGAGCCCCTAATTGTTTACGATCCATTACTCAGGCATGTGATCAGCCAAGGACAAAAAACAAGGAAGACGAGACACACACACACACGCATACATACATACATTATATATATATATATATATATATATATATATATATATATATATATATATATATACACATATACACATACACATATACACACACACACATATATATATATATATATAAATATATATATATATATATATATACACACACACACACACACACACACACACACACACACACACACACACACACACACACACACATACATACATACATATATATATATATATATATATATATACATACACATATACATATATATATATATATATATATATATATATATATTAGCGCTGTCAAAATTAACGCGTTAACGCATGCGATTAATTTGAAATAATTAACGCGTTAAAAAAATTAACGCAATTAACGCATTTTTATTTTTTCCTGTTGTGGCCAGGGGCAGACCCAGCAGTTTCCCGCTGTTTCGACATACTTTTTGGGTCGGGCTGATCATCTGCTTATGATCTGATGGGCCAATAAAACACTTAGCAAACTGTCATGTTTTTCTGCCTGAGTGATTGCCGGTGCTGCGAGCTGTCACGCTCTGAAAGTGAGATGTTTCTTTTCCGGACAAAGCAGCTGTGTGACATAATCTGCAGCCCATTGGTTCTTTTCTTTATTGACATTGGGCTGACCCAATCACAAGCTGCCATGTTGGGCTCTGTGTAACGTTGGTGTGTATTCGTCAAAATAGCAGAGTCCCGCCTGTTTCTTACGCGCCGGTCTGCGCCGCGGGAGAGCAGGCTTTTGCGTCTGTCTGCACTCTGCAGCGGGGCACAGATCAACATACTCCTGTCTATTCTATCTAGTTACCCATCTGTCCATATACATATACTTTTTTAAACTTTTAATCTGCACCACAGCCGTGGCAAATTCCTATGCTGTTTCCTTAACCAGCAAGTCTTTATTTTACAAATGATAGAGAATGTCTGCTTCTTACGATCTATGAGGGGTCATTCATGTATTTTAAGATGCACTCGTTCAGAAGACAAGCAAATGAGATATCATGACATTGTGTTTTTGATCGTCAGCATGATGTAGGCTTATAGTGACAATAATATTTATACAATATGGTTATTATAATGATATTTATACATGACCAAACTAGTGTGCAACTTAAGCAACTTTTTTTTTACATTTAGTTTTGTAGTTCTGCCCAAACAAATATTTGTTGCATTTTTTATTTGTTTAAGTTCATTTGATTGACAATGTAAAAGCTGTTAGCTATGTTTGATGTTTCATTGTTGAGTTAAACATGTTTTTTAAGGGTCTCTGACACATTGCTTTCATTATTTATCTTTATTTTATTAATCAACATTAACTGTGTGCGTTAATAGGCAGTTTTTGTTATGTTCATTATTTATTAGGCTCCCTTAAAACACACAGGCAGCCACATTTCCAGTGTGGATTATAATTTTATTTTAATAATAAATAAATAAATAAAAAGTAGTTTTTTTAATTTGTCAACTCTCGTTATTTCCTATATATGGCTTTGTGCTTTTATAGAATGGTAGTTGGTAAACCTATTCAAGGGCATGCACAGATTTTCTATACTTTATTATTATTATAATTTTCCATATCTGCAATTCCTGTATTTTGGCATTTTTTTGCAGTCCACTTAGAATCCAACATGGAAATCAATGTTTTCTTTATTGGCATTGATTGTTTTGAAACTTAAATGTCATTAACATGCCTGTGTTTTAATTTCTGTAATAAATATAACTGTCAAGCCAGGATCTTGATGGTTTATTGTGGGTTTGTTGTTTACATGAAGAAATCTGTGTTACAAGTTAAACAAAAGTTCTAATAATGAATTATATTTTGAATTTAAACAGTATTTGTCTTGCGTTTACATTAATTTTACACTCGAATAGCCAAAATTACAAGTTTCAGTCTTTTAAATGCGATTAATCACGATAGATTTTTTTAATTGATTGACAGCACTAATATATATATATATATATATATATATATATATATATATATATATATATATATATATATATATATAAGTGGTGGGCTGTTATCGCCGTTAAAAGTGCTGCATTAATGCGAGACTCTTATCAGGCGATTTAAAAAAAATAATAAATAAAATACGCTGTTAATCTATTCTCAAAGTTGGGTCGGGAGTTGGGTCTATTCTATGCAAGCTATGATGACTTTGCACTGTATTGCACTGTAGGTGGCGAGAACGAGTCTTCGAACCAGTGTGTATTCCTGCTGTGAAAATACCACATCAAACGTGACGTGCTAACATGGATGCAGTTCACTACATACCAGCCAACACTCCCGTTTTTCCCGGGAGTCTCCCATATTTCAGACCCATCTCCCACCACCTTCCCGTTTTGTTATTTCTCCCGGAAAACTCCCGTAATGTCAACCATGACCCCCTCACTCCGCTCCTCAGTATTTTGGTACGGTCTGTGAGACCCCCAGGTCGCCAACATAGGTATAGGATCTGATCACAGTGGCCGCCCGAAACACGTTTCATAGTACAGTTATTAACACCCCAGTTGGATTCCCGACACGACTAACCGTAAATCATCTTCCACTGTCAATAAGTGTGAGCCATAGCCGACTTGCTTTTGGTGTACGTACATACAGATAATGCTGCTTCGCAAAGTCAAGTTCACAGAGCCCTGACAGTGTGGTTGAGTCATTGAGTATGCTTACATGGGCAACAATACTTTAATATGATTTAAATACGATTAAGACAATACTTTGGTTAAGAGTCCCCATGTAAACAGCAATTTTTGATTACCATAATCCGACTAAAGTCCTAACTGAACTAAACAGAAATGTGATTAAGACATGTGGAGTATGCAGTGACATTACTTACATAATTACTTACACATTCTGACATTATTGATTATTATTGATGAGCCGTACGGGTTATATGAGGGATTATAGGGGTAAGAAAAGTCAGAAATAAAGAACGAAGTTTACAAAAACACATACACATTTACTTTTGGGCTGATTCTGGATTTCTGAGTCCATTTTAGGTCGGAGCCTCGTGAATGTGTGTGTGTGTGTGTGTGTGTGGACGAAAGGGAACAGGAATGTCTTTGAAGTTCTAGTCGAAGAGACCCAGGAAAGTCTGTTAAGTGTCCCGGAGTATTTAAATTGTCAATCAAAGAGCCTTGGAGCAGACTTCCTGGCACCGAGTGATCGTATCTGTCCTCTTTAGACCAAACCCAGACCATTTCTTAAAATCAACAAGTAGTTTTATCTATGGACTGTACGCTACAGAAAACACACACACACACACACACACACATATATATATATATATATATATATATATATATATATATATATATATATATATATATATATGCATGTAGTCAAAAGTCATGTTTAATAGATCAAGAACATTTTCACAGTATTTCCTACAGTCTAATAGTGTTTATTCTGGAGAAAGTCTTAGGCTATTTATTTTAGTCTGGCTGGAGTTAAAGCAGTTTATATAGACCTAATAAGCATGTCAATATAATTAACCCCTTATGAATTTCTTTATGTCAAACAAACATTTGTCATGACTTGTCACTCAAAAGCATATGCTACAGCTACTTCATTTATAATGTTGCCAAATGAGATTATTTGGAAGGTTTCTTGCTGTATATGTCGTTTATTTTGTCCTTCGTTTAACGTTTACACTGTTTATTATACAGATTTATATTTTAAATACACCCTTTTAAGTAATGAGCTGTTCACCTTCTGTGATTGTGACCATGTTTTTGTAAAAACAGTAATATTTAATTGCATCCACTCCCACATAAAAAATACTACAGTAACTTATAGGAATACTTGTGTTTTTGAACCATATTATAAAAATAGCCGATTTAAATTGTATAGTTGCTCTGGTATGACAACAACTATAAACATAACCCAATAATGAATAAACATGTTCAAAAACGCTAAAATGTTTACTATAAATCCCCAAAGTATTTTTTCATGAGGTCATTTGTCCAGGATAAAAAAACGCAAACGCGATCTCCGCCACTGGTGATGTTTCCAGGCGACAAAACAGCGAAATTTGGGAAGTGTCCGACTTCTGATGTAATTTTTGAGCCCTCCTCTTACTGCAGCCGCCTGCTCCTGTTTAAGCCTGGTTTATACTTCTGCGTCAAGTGACCGGCGTGACCCACGAAACACTTCCGAAACGCTAGTGGGCAGTGAGGTGTAAATGTTCCTCTGTGTCGAGTTTCTTCGATGCTGTTTTGCTTTTCCTGAACACTTCCGGGATGTACAAGTGGCTCAAACTCGCTCATTTTGAGGCAGGAACCGGCGGACGTGCAACAACTATAACTATGAGGTAAACACAGAACAAAACTTTCCATCAGGAGCTCCTTTACGGGACTCCACACTTGTAAACAATCGCTCCATTGGGCTCGCGCAATGACTGTAAAAAATATGGACGACGCGACAGCCCTTTTTTCCCATTGAACGCCTTGAGGGCAAAACGCCTGCTTGACGGGCACAAACTGTCGCAAAAGACTGCTGAAATTGGAGCCAGACATGCGCAGAAGGATTGTCTGATGGAGCCAGAGGAGGAGCCGCGAAAATGAGCAGAGTCGAGCTTCCAATCAAACGCTTTATGTAAAATCAACTACGCCCCCCGAACTTCTCAGCATGCGTTTGCTGTCATATCAACACAAATGGATGTAATAACGTTAACAAATATGAGGGTTTTATATATTCAATCGCGCCAGCTCCAGGCCGCAGCGCATAACTTACTAGCGGCGTCGCGGGCTGATTCCGGCTCGCATGCGGCAGCGCCTGCTCGTTTGGCCGCCGCATCTGGCTCGATTGACTCGGACTGGAATCGGGCAGTGAGTCCAGGCATCCGGAGTAGGTCCAGCAGAGGTAACATTAGTCAGTCTGAGCTCTAAGAGATAAGTCTCCGGCAGGCGAGAATCTAGCCGGAACTGTGTTTTGCTATCTGGGTGGCTAGGCGTGTATCAGCAAACTAATAAAGCCCTGAACTTAGCGAATAAACAGTGTTCCACCAGGATCATGTATGTCAGAAACTATAGTTTACTGCTGAACTCATTTTGTCATGGTAAAATAACACAGAAATCGAATAATAACACTTCAGTCTACTTCAGTCTCCTGCCGAAGCTCAGACGCCGCGCTTTGAGAAACTGTCAATCACAGCTGTCAATCACGATGACACGCCCAGCATTAAATTACTGCTAAAAACAAACTGTTTACAAAAATGAAGATCTGCACCTATTTCAGCACAATAACCAGTGCCTTAATCGACCAGAACTATCTTTCGGGACATTTTATTGCAAGTGTAATATTTTTTTTTATTTGGGCTCAAGTCTCCTTCATTAACACGGAGGAGGCGGGCTTTATGACTTGTACTGCAGCCAGCCCCCAGGGGGCGATCTAACGGCCGAAACCTTCACTCAAACGTAGGCTTGCGGCACACTTGGGCTCGCGCCATTCGCGCGGCTCTCGGTCCCGCCCAGACTCGTCAGCCCTGCCAAGCCGACCAATCACAGAGCTTGCGCTACGCGTCGTTGCGACGTGTAGTTACATTTTTTGAGAGGTGCACGTCAGTGACGGCGACGGCCAGGGCAAAGGGCTATGCGTCAGCGCCGTAGCATACACCGGCGTTTGACGCAGAAGTATAAACCAGGCTTAACACTGCAGTGAAAGTGAGGCGCACCTCAAACGAGCCTACTGCTAAACGCTGAATCAGGCTAAGCTCCGGCATTAAAACGATTAGAGCCGATATGTGAAACACAACAAATTAATTTTACGGTCTACTGTTTTTCTTCACAAAACTAACACTCCATAGTTCAGTAATATTTTACAATAATTCTAGTCCATTAATTCACGTATTTACTAACATTAAGTATGAATAATTCTGTAAATCATTTATTAATGCAATAATAAAATACAAAGTTGTGCTTGTTAACATTAATGCAGAGATTTAACATGAATTAAGGTTGTTTAACTTAAATAATGTTAACAAAGATGGATGAATACCGTAATGAATGTATTACTAACTGTTCATGTTAGTAAAGGCATTAATCAACCTTTATCTTGACAATAAATTAATTACTTTAAAGTGTTTCCCATAATTCTACACCTTTTTACACAATTTTAAGACAACCCACATGAAAAATACTACAGTAATTATATTTAATACTGTAGTGTTTTTGAACCATACTATAATAAAGTGTATTGTACAATTGTGTTACTGAATGTTGAAGCAGTAACTGTGGTGAAATGAGAAAATGCTCTGCATACTGTAGTAAACATGAGTTTTTACTGCAGTAAACTGTGCTGTGTTGTAATATAGTTGTTGTAAATGTAGTACAGTGTTGGTGTTTTGTGTTTCTACTACACTATTTACTATAAATGACTACAGTATTTGTCCATGTGGGTGAAATGAGTGAACACAGCATTTCATTTGCCGCTAATAAAGATCAGACAAATCCTGAAGTATAAGAATGTGTGAAAGTAAACAGGAATCATAACCTGTGCTTTTACCGCGAGAAGCTTTTACATCGAGAGCTTTAATAAAGAGATTAGTGGCCAAAACCAAGCAAAAACAAAGCTGAAAACCGACACTGAAGAGGAACACAGCCGAGAGAAAAACACTTGAATATTGAGAAAGTAGGAATCTGAACTAATAAATAAGGAGAGAAACACAACGTTACCTGTTTACATATGAACACGGTAAAAGTCCGCTATTCCTGATCGCTTTCACAGAGGAATTGACAGTCAAGAGCCAGGATATAATGAAGAAAGGCAGGAGTTGTGTCGTGTTCGCTAAATAATCTCTCTAGAGTTGATAAAAGCTGAAGTGTAGCCTCTTTGTTTCTTCTCATCTTCAACACGAGTTTAATGTTGCTTGTTCTGAGCTTTTCCTCCAGCGCCTCCGCTATCAGTGTGCTGTGTACTACTGCCATCTAGAGGACGATCACAGCAACAGCGACTTACAGCGGTAACCGGGCGCCAGGAGGAAATCAGGTTCGGTAAAACTAATTAACTTGACACAAGAAAGCAAAATCAATTTTAGGCAGACAATAAATGCACACAGACACACACAAAAAAAACTTTGAATACAACTTTATTTTAGTTTACCTTCTCATAGGGCAAACAAAACTAATTTAATTTCGAGCTGGTACCCCACATGAAAGCATACTATAGTAATTGTAGTGTATAAATATATATATATATATATATATATATATATATATATATATATATATATATATATATATATATATATATATATATATATTCCATCAACGTCCTCAGGTTTTGATAAATAGGCATATTAGGTATATTAATGCTTTAGATTTAAGTTTAGCAGCTGTTTAACTTTTTAAGAACAGTAATGAACTTTTAAGCCAAGGCAGTGTGGTTGTACTTGACATTGATGGGGATGAGTGGACAAAATGTATATGTACATACACATACAGTTGAAGTCAGAATTATTAGCCCCCTTGTTTATTTTTTCCCCCAGTTTCTGTTTAACGGAGAGATTTCTTCAACACATTTATAAACATAATAGTTTTAATAACTCATCTCTAATAACTGATTTATTTGATGTTTCTCATGATGACAGTAAATAATATGTTACTAGATATTTATCAAGACACTTCTATACAGCTTAAAGTGACATTTAAAGGCTTAACTAGGTTAATTAGGTTAACTAGGCAGGTTAGGGTAATTAGGTAAGTTATTGTATAATAATGGTTTGTTCTGTAGACTATCAGAAAAAAAATTGCTTAAAGGTGCTAATAATATTGACCCTAAAATGGTTCATAAAAAAATGAAATCTGCTTTTATTCTAGCTGAAATAAAAAAACAAGACTTTCTCCAGAAGAAAAAATATTATCAGACATACTGTAAAAATTATTTGGCTCTGTTAAACATCATTTCGTATATATATATATATATATACACACACACACACACACACTGTACATTCTACAGCTTGCTTTTCTTTCTCTGGAAGCATTTAAGAGGTTTCTTGGCTGTATTTTGGATCATTGTCTTGCTGAAATGTCTACCCAGGATTCGTCTTCATCCTCCTGCTAATGTAGATGTTGAACTGAAGCAGCTGATAATTATTTATAATGAGAAAGACCAGAGGTTTGCTGAAGAACTACTGAGAGATTTCAGCTGCTGTCTGGGCTTTCACTGTTGAACTGCACCTCCCTTTCTTCATGTGTTCATTATTATTTTTTCCCTGCATCATTTCATTTTATTACACAACTTATTTTGTGAACTAATTAGTTTTGTTTTCTTTGCATTTATGGATTTTTTTTTTGTTACAACTAACATCCAGTCTAAATTTCAAGTCAACAACACCTTTAGATATATCTTCTCTTAGAATAAACGAGACATGTTCAATACTCATTCCCCCTACTATATATATATATATATATATATATATATATATATATATATATATATATATTGAAGGAGTCGCAGTTCTACCTTCCAATCCATCAACATTTTTTCAGCGTTTATCCTTTTTATTAAATATCATGTTTCTCATCTCTTTGAATATATATTTAATTGATTATCTGAATGAGTATTTAACTTGAATTGATTTGACTAATGAATAAGTTAAAACTGCTTACTGCAAGAATGTTCTGTGTCCTTGTTTCTCTTTTTGCCTGTCTATTTTAACTTTGTTTTCAGGAGACACACAAACCAGGTCATAGGTCATGGAGACCTCTCTCTCTCTCTCTCTCTGTCTCTTTCTCTCTCTCTATCTGTTCCTATGACTGGAGGTCCAATACAGAGGAGAAGAAGACACCTGTTTCATTGTCCTGATATATTGCCTATAATTCTATAGCTGTTTGATTGATCTGTTTTTGTGTATAATTAATAGTAATGTAATTCCTTTTTGTGTGACAGACTGTGTGTAGCCAAGATATTGTTGCAGACTGTTGATGGAAACAGTCTTGAACCAGCCTGATAACACAGCTGAACGTACAAGAAACATCCTTGAGTCTTTAGCACAGATGGTCGTTTGTGTCTATTGTTTTCCTGGTTTAGCTTTTTACAGGTCGGAGATCAGCTCGTAATAACTTAGGGCGACCTCACCTCTAGGCATCAGGTCGCCATCCATATCTGGAGACAAATACAAGGCTTTCTTTGACGCACACACTAAGGCCATCCATATCTGGAAGTAGATACTATGTTTCGTTGACGCATGTATTTAGAATTGTCTATTTCTGTTGTAACCAATGAGAACTGTTTACCTGGATCCCACCCTTTTCTGGACTTGTGTAAAGAGTATAATTGTTCGATTGTTGTGATTGTAAGTCAGACCGGCCTGCGAGCTCATCCGAGTGTGAAGCCCTTCTGCCATAGAACTGCAAACTATCTTCAGTAAATTTTTCATTTTTTAATTGCATCTTCGACTCTGAGTCTTCTCTTCATCTGACACACCAGACTTTTATTTAAACTGTTTATTCAAATCTCCCAACAATATATATATATATATATATATATATATATGTAACCCAGTAGAATGAAGTTCTACAAGTTAAGTTTTAAAGTAATCTTAAGGTTATTTATTTATTTATTCATATTGGTTCTAGAACAGAATTAAATCTAAAATGTGTTTTGCATTCATTTGTGAATATACATCCTAATGTTGATGTGTAATATATGAGCGTCTATCTCTGAGAATATGATAAGATAGCAAGTTTGATCAACCTTCACTGAAATACATGGGGTTAACAAGTTTGGTAGGTGTTCCTCATGATTGGTTTATATGCGTGTAGTCCCGCCCTCTGGTGTGGAGGGTGAAATGTGATTGGCTGTTGGGAAGAGAGAAGGGAGAGAGGAGACACAGCCGGCAGTTTTGGAAACTGAAGGGGAGACTCGCGTCGCGGCTGTTATGATTGCGTAACATTCACGGAGAATAAAAACAAGAGATAGTAATAGATATTGCGTGTGAACAACATGTTTTTGATTACTTTGAGTTTGTTTTGTGTTTGTTTTAAGTTCGCGGTGTGTTTTCATCATATAAGTTTCAGTGTCAGTTATTAGTCAGTTCAGAGTGAGTGAGCATTTTTTAAATGCCTAGATTGTCAACTGACAGTTACGGAGGACTAAAGCTGAACTGAGAGAGAGACGGTTAAACTGAAAATAAGGAGGAGAAAAAAGAGACTGTTAGATTAGTATGAAACAAGGATGAAAGAGTCAAAGAGGAGCAAATAGCACCACAAATAACCTGAATACTACGTGAGATTTGCCTCTCATCAGCTGGGGAGGAAAAGTGAAAGTGAGGATTTGAAAGACCCGCGGCAGAAGTTCGCCGATCGATCGCGGCTTGTTGGCCCGTTGTTCACAAGTGTTGTCAGTTTGGAGAACTGTCATATATTGCTGTCATCTGGATCGCTGTCATTTGGATTGCTGTCATCTGGATCGCTGTCAACTGGATCGCTGTCATCTGGATCGCTGTCAACTGGATCGCTGGCATCTGGATCGCTGTCAACTGGATCGCTGTCATCTGGATCGTTGGCATCTGGTTTGCTGTCATCTGGATCAAGGTCATCTTCATCTGAGGTATCTTGTTTAATTTTATTTGTGCTCAGGAGAGTGAAGAGGCCATTTTCATTTTCCCGGCCACAACGTACACTAGCAGCGATACAGGCCTGCAACGGGGGTGTATGAATGTGTGAGTGTGTGGGCCCACAGAGTATTGAGTTGTTTATGGAGATGCAGTGAGCATAAAATACTGCTGCGTGTTTTACAGTATAGATTTATACTAATAGTTTATATAGGTTTAATTCAGTGTGTAATTTAGTGACACAATTGTAGCCACTTTCAAAGAGAAACATATTCAGTCACTCTTAGTCACTTGTTGATTTATAAGTTTAATTGTTAGAGTGTAGAAAGGTGGTATTTTTCTATATTGGTTTAATTAATATTCTTCATTGTACTGTAAATTGCTGGGTTTGACTTTGGGTCATTTTACTGTCTTTTAGCTGTGCATAAATTCTATATTTTGTATTTTGTTTTACATCTGGGGTTTTTCCCAATATTTACATTTCTATTCTAATTAAATTATTTATATTTTCTGATTTATCTAAGAGTTTTATTATTCAAAGAGTTTATTTCTAGTAATTTATTAAAACACAGCATATATTTGTATTCTCATCTGACTTATTTACATTACGTCATTGAAATATATCAGAGGGGCCTACTTCAACATATTTGTAGGCGTTTAGTGTATTGAACCTGGAGCGCTATCTTAAACTTAATACACCTAGGTGGCGCTACATATATATATATATATATGTCATTTATATATATATATATACACAGTGAGAACTGAAAGTATTCAGACCCTCTTAAAGTATTCCCTCTTTGTTATATTGCAGCAGTTCACTAAAATCATATAAGTTCATTAATTTTCCTCAATGTACACACAGCAGCCCATATTGACAGAAAAACACAGAATTGTTGACAGTTTTGCAGGTTTATTAAGACAATAATTGGCTTTCTAAGAAACATCCATTCAAGTGTGTTGAGGCAAGTTGGAGCTAATATCTGCAGGACAACGGCCCTCCAGGATCGAGTTTGGACACCCCTGATCTAAACCTTTTTGCAAAGGTGTTTGAATTTTGAAGCTGATGTTTTCCTTTAGGCTGAAGATCTGCTGAATATCAAACACTGCTATGTAATGTGTATTTATATAGCGCATTTATTGTGTATGGTCATACACCCAAAGCGCTTCACAATCATGAGGGGGGGTCTCTCCACACCACCACCAGTGTGCAGCACCCACTGGAATGATGCGACGGCAACCACAGGACAACGGCGTCATTGCGCTCACCACACACCAGCTATTGGAGGAGTGGAGGGACAGTGATAGAGCCAATTGGGTGGAAGGGGATGATTGGGAGGCCATGATCGTAAGGGCCGATAGAGAGACTTTGGCCAGGACACCAGGGTTACACCCCTG